GATATCTATATTAAAATTTAATATTTTTAATTAAAAATAATATAATACTTATCAATCCACCACAATTCTCGTTGTTAATTATAAATAGTATTGATTTTGGTTAATAATCAAAGGTTTCGATTTCAAAATCCAAATATCCGGTCAAAAACAAAAAAAAAAAAAAGTCATTTATTAAGATATAAAGGTACAAAATAAAAGTAGAGAAAAAAAAACAAAAGAAAAAAGAGAAAAAGGAGCATCATAAGTTTGACTCTCTCCCTCATTGATTAGAATAAGAATTTCCTCCATTTTCTCTCTCTCTTTTTTATTTCTATATCTTCATTATCTTCTACCCCTCTCATCACTCTTTCCAATCTTCTTCTTCTCTCTGTTCTATGGTTTTCTAAACATGGCTGTAGACTTAATGACTAGTGGTTACAGAACCGATAATTTTTCATCAAAAATGGAGGAAACCGCCGTACAAGAAGCTGCGACCGCCGGACTTCAAAGCGTCGAGAAATTAATTCGATTGTTGTCTCAATCTCATCAAAATCAACATCAACAAAAGCCGAATTTTCAAGATTCGTCATCTTCTTCTTTGGGTAATTCCTCTGTTTCTGCAGATTATCAAGCTGTAGCTGATGCTGCTGTAAACAAATTTAAAAAGTTCATTTCTTTACTTGATAAAAACAGAACTGGTCATGCTAGATTCCGCCGAGGCCCAATTAGTTCTCCTTCTCCTCCTCTTCCATCAAAACCACAACAATTACAACAACCCATTAAGAATCAGAACCCCCAAATTGAAGAAATCGAAAAGCCCCAAACTTCAAATACCAAAATCTACTGTCCGACCCCAATTCAAAGATTGCCTCCGTTACCTCATAACCATCTTCAATTAGTGAAAAATGGGTCGATTGAGAGGAAAGAAGCATCAACTACCATCAATTTTGCTTCTCCGTCGCCGGCGACTTCGTTTATGTCATCGTTAACAGGGGAAACAGAGAGCTTACAGCAGTCTTTATCTTCTGGGTTTCAAATAACAAATCTTTCTCAGGTTTCATCCGCCGGCCGGCCACCTCTTTCTACTTCTTCATTCAAAAGAAAGTGTAGTTCCATGGACGATACTGCTCTCAAGTGCAGCAGCGCCGGTGGGTCCTCTGGCCGTTGCCACTGCCCAAAGAAAAGGTAAAAATCAACCCCAAGATTCCATTTTTATCACTTTAAATCCATAAATATACAGATCTTTACAAATTTATGTGAATTTTAACTGATTTATTGATAATTTATTCAGAAAATCAAGAGTCAAAAGAGTAGTAAGAGTCCCTGCTATTAGCATGAAAATGGCTGATATTCCACCTGATGATTATTCATGGAGAAAATATGGTCAAAAACCCATCAAGGGTTCTCCTCATCCTAGGTAAATCCTCACTTTTTTCGCTTACTTGATGATTCGAACCCATAATTTCATATTTAATTTAAAGGGTGTTTATCATTCGAGCAACCGTATTGATTTTGATTTTGAACTTTTCCAGAGGATATTACAAATGTAGCAGTGTACGAGGATGTCCAGCAAGAAAACATGTAGAAAGAGCATTAGATGATCCAGCGATGTTGATTGTTACATATGAAGGAGAACACAATCATTCCCATTCCATTACAGAAACACCAGGAGCTCATGTTCTTGAATCTTCTTAAATTTTAATGATAATCAACGGCTCAGAACTTCTTTAGAAACATGAAGAGTAAATCAGCACCGTCGATCTAATGGTCAACGCCTACAGAAAAAAAAAAAAGAGGCAATATTTGTTTAATTTTTATTCTCTCTATGTATTTGTCGTTGAAATACTTTTGATTATGCGTGGAAAAAATTTGAAAAGAAGATAGAGAGCTCAAATTGTGGATTTGGTGGAAATTGAATCATGCAAAAATTTAGTGGGTACTTTTTTTTTTTTTTTAATTTTTAATTTAATTTAATTTAATATACTATACATATCATGTTGGAAGATTTTTTTTTTCTTTGTTTAATTTTATGATTTGACGTTTAATTATTTATACACGTTAGGTTGGTTCTAGCAAGGAAGTCCACTTATTCCATCTTCCACTAAAAAAACAATTAAAAATAAATTAAAGAGTTTTGGCTCCTACCATAATAGTTAGTCAATGGGAATTAAGATTAAAGAATTTAATCAAGTTGGGATTAGTCTAATCAAGAACGTGTCGTAAGTGAGACGTTTGACAAACTTTAAGTAATAGTATATATATATTTTTATAAATATATAATTAATGGGAAAATGGGTGGGTGTTACATCAGTTTGGACTTTTTTGAGGTAGTGTTGTTTTTATTATATTATTCAAATGTATGGTCCAGCTAATTGTCTAATAAATTATTTTTGGCTAATTTGGAATAATAATTGAGGGGAAGATGTTGGTTCGAGATAAATCTTTTGAAATTAATATTTGTGGATTGACTCAAGGGACAGATAACGATTTGGGTGGTGTGCGTGGGTCACAACTTGCACAACTTAATGTGTATAAATATTGCAAAGTCAATATGGAAACACTAATAATTGAATACAGACAGAAAAATGTTTGGTTGTTTGATAGCTAGTTTTTTGGTGTTTATGCTGATGAATAAAAGAAGTATAAAAAAAATTGTGAAATAATTGAGATGCGAGTAAATTGACTTTACAAAGAATTTATTATTAATGATTTATTGTGTTGGATTCTTTTTTCGTTTCATATTAATTATCTATTTTATTCTCTATATGCATTTTAAGAAGTATTTGTTGGATAATTTTACTAATTTATCTTTATTTATCAATTAATATACTCCTTTGAGAAGGAAACTTTTGGAACTTATAAAATTGTGTAGGCTTCCAAAAAAAATTGTTGGGGTAAAACGGATATTTTTTAATTAAACTTATATTGGTTTGGTAATTGAGGAGTACTCCCTTCGTTTATATTTACTCGTTTATGTTTGACTTGAGACATTCTTAATTAAAATAGATACAAAATGATAAATTATCTTTTGTATTTTCAAGTAAAGCGGATGACTATTTTTAGTATATTGGACAAATAAAAATGAATGAATGATTAAAGTAATTTGAGATAATTATTTTTAATAAGGTGAACGACTAATATGAAACAAATATAATATGGTTATAAAAATATTTAGTGGATCTTTGACAAATTTGAGCATAAAAAATAGAAAATAGAAATAGTATTTTGTAATAAGATGTAGAAAATGGATCACATGTGGAGAGATGAACGTGCCCTATACCCAAGTAGATAACTTTGTCTGGTCAAATTACGAGAACCCTCCTTTACATGGTACTATTTGGTATCCTATGCTATATTCTTGGATTTTTATATGACTTTTCTCAAATTATGTTCAAAATTAAAAGATAAAAGTCATCTAGGTTTTAATTGTTTGAATTAGTTAATTCTAGATGTTTTTAAGTCCAAAAAATATTTTAAAGTTAATGATGGACCCTTTCATTTGGTTGAGCCTACACTGATCGTCATACTAGACATACCAAGCACATAAAATAAAATACGCAACTCAGTAATCAATTATTATTTGATTTAGTCAAAATTTGAGTATTTGACTACATGAAACCATGAAGACTTGAACTATATATAAAATATTTTTAATAACGTAAGATAATTTTTTTTCTTAGGTTATAAGTTAATCCTAACAAGAATGTGTGAAAGTGAAAGTTAATATTGAAAATTTGAGAGTCAGAATGAGAACAGTATTGGTACGTTGGTTGGTCAAATTTGGGCTTTAGTGGTGTCCTCTTTCATTGTCGGAACTGGCGATGGGTCAATTTCTTTATATAACCATAAAAGGAATTCAAATATTTGGTCGTTTGCTACATTGTAATTTTCAAAATTTGACTACTTCGCCACACAACGACGAAGTCAGAAATTTTATCAATGAGGATACTTGACCCGTATACATTGTATTATTTTTTTCAATAAAGAGTTCAATTAATCAACGTTCAACGTAGCTATGCCCTGGTACATAAGCACAAATTCTTACAGTCTTGCAATTGGCCTAGTCAATTTATTAACCAAACTCTTCTACCTTAATTCAACACTTTGTCATTGCTTTGATCTATTTGAATAAATTAGCCCACAACAGATTCATACAAGTGAGCTAAACTAGTTTATACTCGAAGAATTAATAACTATTATTGCCAATGGGCCTATCAGCAGATTCAGTTGCTCATCATAAGGATTCTTAGGCCCATAGTTTAAAACAGAAATTCAAGGCCCATTATCTCTGTATGGAATTTGATTAAAGTGGATCACAAATCACACACAAAAAAGCCTTCTTAATTGATTATCTCATATATATCACCAAGTCCTTCTAATCCAAAAAATGTAGAATGACAAAGCAGACCATATGATTAGTTATTGATTCTCATGAAAAATAGGTTCAGATGAATGCAGTAGTTTATATTAGGAAATTCAATGAACATACGTAGATATTTTATTACTGAATCAATAACTAAAACGAGCTATGAGTTCAACGACAAATTCAGTTTAAATCTCGACTTCGCCTCTTCTAGTAGACTGGGTGGGTTGCAACAAAAGCTGATAGTTACAGCCTTACAGGAACAAATATTGACTGGATTACAGGCGTTCGAGTTAGTATTTAGTACAAAAGATTTTACTAAATATTGAAATCTAGTACTAGTGGCCAAACAGATAACCAAAAATGTCAAAAAGGTAACATGACATCTTTATGTGCAAGATTTAATAATGAAAAGCATTATGGTCCCTCGCCACAACCAAAATAGTGATCCATTCATTGTTGCTTCTTTTTGCACGGTCTCAATTTTAAAAAAAACACTCAGTATTGGTTGGTTAATCAAGTTGTTCTAAGAAAATTTAGAAAAATAAAGTTTTTCTGTGTGTTTACCTTTTTATATTCTGAACCCTATTAGTGAAAATTCTGGTTCCGTCACTGATGACAGAAAAAGTAATTTATTAAGACTATATAGTATTTGATGATCTGTTGGTTTGTTCTCTGTTTTCATTTTCTTAGTTTTGAGAAATGATGAATAGTACTATCAAATTTCTAATATTTTTCTTCAGTGTCACAACAGCACAACCACTAAAGGGACAGAACCAATTGATTTTTGCAGATCAAAGGCTTGCTATAGTATACCCCATTATACAAAAATTCAAGAATATCATCTCTGCTGATCCTCTAGGTATTACAAAAACTTGGGTTGGTCCAAACATATGTAATTATACTGGTTTTTATTGTGAAAGTCCTCCAGACAACAATTCAGCAATTGCTCTTGCTTCTATTGATTTCAATGGCTTTCAACTTAGCGCGTTGACACTTGATGGCTTCCTTGATCAGCTTCCTGATATAGCTATTTTTCATGCTAATTCAAACAATTTTGGTGGGACTCTGTCTCCAAAAATCGTGAATCTTCCTTATCTCTATGAACTTGATATTAGTAACAACCAATTTTTCGGGCCATTTCCTAGTCCAATTTTGGGCATGAATAGCTTAAATATATTGGATATAAGATTCAATTCTTTCACTGGATCAGTCCCACCTCAACTGTTCACTAAAGATCAATTAGACGCACTCTTCATCAACAACAACAATTTCATGCAGATGCTTCCTGATAACATCGCGACCAGCCATGTCACATATCTTACTTTAGCTAACAACAGATTTTTCGGTCCTATCCCACATAGTATTTCCAAAATCTTGTCGAGTTTGTCTGAGATTTTGCTGCTTAACAACTTGTTAAGTGGATGTCTTCCTTACGAGATAGGATTCTTAAACGAAGCAATAGTCTTCGATGCTGGCAATAATAGACTCACCGGTCCACTTCCATTCTCATTAGGGTGTTTGGAAAATGTAGAAATGTTGAATTTTGCTAGAAATCAGATGTATGGGATAGTGCCTGATGTGATTTGTGCCCTGGGGAATTTGGCAAATTTATCGTTATCCGATAACTATTTCACAGGATTTGGGCCAATTTGTTTGAGATTGATAGAAAATGGAGTGCTTGATTTGAGGAATAATTGTATTCCTGGTTTTCCATTTCAAAGATCAATAGCTGAATGTGTTGCATTTTTTGCTTACCCAAGGTACTGTCCTCATATGGCTACATATACTTATATTCCTTGTTGGCTTTCAAATTTCAAAACACCTCCTCTGGATCTCCCTGAATTGGCTCCTTAGTAAGGGCAACACGGTGTACAAAGCATTCTGTGTTAGCATGGTTCGGGAAAAGCTCCTTAGAAAATTCTGGTATTTGATCATATACATACATTTCCCATATTTGCGATCCTTTTGTTTTAACTAAATCAAGCTTGTAATTTCAGTTGAACAGAGTGTGATATCTCATAATAATTTGTAATCTCTGTTTATGGAGTATGGTTCAGTAGTAAATTTACGTTACTTTTATGTTATGGGAAAGATACTTATATAATATGCTCTTAATTAAATGGCAAAGATGAATAGAGAACAGAAGTCTCATTGAATGATTACTTATGTAGTTAAATTATATATACCATAATAGATCGAATTGAATTAATTTTGTAACGACCCGTCTGAGGCTGATCTAGCAGAAAATTTATATGTCGGAAAGTTTTCTGGCCCAAATTCTTTCACTATTGACTTACTCATAACGGCCGTTACAAATTCTGAAGTACTTCCTTCATGTGCATGTCAAGGTATCGCAAGCAAAATTATCATGAAACTAGAGTTTTAGCAAAGCTCAACACAAACACATACTCCAAGAGACATAGGTTCAGTTCATGATATACTGGCAGGTCGCACATTCTACTCTTCTCAAATCACACTCACGAAATTACGAGGGATATGTTATGGTTGTAGGATAAAATGTGGAATTGTTTTATCCCGCATTTGTTTATAAGATTTTTGTGTATCTTATCCCACCAACCAGGCAACCACATGAGTAAAGCATGACACAATTTCAGCTCATTGTGCATATATTCTTACATTTAATTAGTAGTACCACCTAATTATAATTCTGGAAAATACTAAAGTGTTTAAACTAAATTATATTTAATGCACCATCGACCGACTATTGCCATGGCGTTAGTGCAGCGGTGGTGGATGTCCAGCTCTGAACAGTCCATCAGTAACAATAACTTATCATTTTATTATGTATAATTATCAAACAGCTTTGTCATACAATCACTCTTTCTTTGTTTTCAATGATTTTATTTAATTTGGTTAGTGGACATATGATATAAACTAGCTAGCAGGAGCTAGAATGTACTTGGCTTTTCCTTAATATATGATATACCCCCTCCGTATCAAATTATATGGCAATCAATAAAATTAATCTTTGAAGCCAACATATTATCTATAATATATGTTAACGGTTTACTTCATCTAAAACCTTTATCTTTCTTTTACCCTTAATTAAAAAAAGGCTGAATTAGTTAAGAATAAATTTAAAAAATAGCTATATATAATTTGCTTAATTACGTCTCATAATTACATGTTAGGAGGGGAAAGAGACGAGCGAGATTGGGAGAGGGAGTAAAGAGACGAGCAAGCGGGAGGGCAAAGAGAGGTGAGGGACGAATTATATTTGTATATTTGTTGGATAATTGTATATATGTAACTATTATGTGTATGTATCAATGATTATATTTGTATATCCGCGGGATAATTGTATATATGTAATTAGTATGTATCAATGAATACAATTGTATTAACAAATACAATTATATCAATGTTGTATCAAGTTCAACTTTTGTATTTGTATAATGATTGTTTATCATTTGTATCAATGTTGTATCACTGAATACATGTGTATTTATATTTTATATCACTAAAAAAGATATGTATAGTTGACACTTATCTTTTGTATTTGTATAATTAGTTGTTATCATTGGTATTTGCATAACGGAGTGTTAAAATTTGTATTTATATTGAGAGAGAGGCGAGAGGGGGGGAGGGGGGTAGAGAGAGGGGACATATGCGAGTGAGTGCAGAGAGAGGGGACATAAGTGGGTGAGTGCAGAGAGAGAGGAAGAGAGAAAATAACTACTATAAATTGTATTTCTTTTAAACTATAGTGATGTATTGTAAATACATATCACATGTTTGTTTAATTACCTAATTTTCCAATAAGTTGTTAGAAGGCCCATTTTGATTTGGGTCTTGTCTTGGGTGCAATACTATATATAAATGTATTGGTTTGAAGCACAAAGGCAAATGAAGATTCTTAAAAGCTTCCATGTATAAATCTTGTCGAGTCATTAATCACCATTACTAAGTTGAACTAATCTTTTGGGTATGCTGCTGCTGTTGAATCTTCTTAGCAACTTCATAGAATACATCGATTGTTTAATAATTGTAAACAAAGGTAGAACCGTTATGTGATATGCTTTATTTGAGTGTAGGTTCATTAGAAACAATTTATCTACCTTTACAAGTCAGGAGTATCCTAAGTATCTCAATTATTCAAGTGATGTTTCGTTTCTTTTTCAAGTTTCAACAAGTAGAATGATTATTGAGTAAAAAGAGAAGAGAAATCATGTCTTGACATGTCCAAATTCCAAAAAAACAACACATTCATATGACAAGCCCAATCAAGAATGGGCCATTAGTCAAAGCATGTATAATCTTATCACTGGACCATGAATAACAGTCCTACACTTCTCTTCATACAGCACCTAAAATACTAGATGGACCACTAAACAATTCTCCTACAAATTTGGTTAACAACTTAAATATAGCAAAACTTAAACATAGTAGAGTAACAAATACGATCCACAAAACGACAAACCTTGTAATGGACTAGATAAATCGTCTATTTTGTGTAATTCTAGATGTGAAGCAAGTCGATGTATCTTATTATTGGTGAAATTGAATACTTTAAATTCAACAAATCCTCTCTTCTTGAGAAATAACTAATATGACAAATCTTTTTAACCATAATTGAATTTCCATATCTAGCCTTCAACTTTAAAACTATACAAATCAAATCAACATAAGTAATGACGCAAAATATTTTGAAAAGTTAAACGAAACACTAATTAAAAAATAACTATTTGACTCACCAAACAATAACAGATCAAATAAAAACACTTCAGATAAAGCGAAGCAAAGAAAGTAAATATTAACTCATAAGTTAAACTTATTTACACTATACGGAAATGTAAATTGATAACCAAACAAACAAATACCATATATTTGATATATGTACTGAATTTTATAAACAACAAATTGAAATACTACTCCTGCCAAACACAGTATACTAATCATGATATAATTTTAATACAATGAACAGTTTATTTCAAAACTACCCCTCAGTAATGACCTAGTGAGTAGCCTAGTACTATTGAATATGAGTTTTTCATAAATGCAATATTATTTTATCGTGTGTTTGATTATAAACATTAAGTCGTCACTGAATTGTCTATTTCATCATTTATATTATAGTAATAGAATAACTTAGATTAATAATTAATCCCCAAATAACTTATTTTCGACCGTGAAACATTATGGCCATGGCTGACACAGAAACAGAGAGAAAAATAGCCAGACTAAATATTGGAAGTCCCCACTTGCCTTTTTTCTTTCTCAAAAATCTTCACGTGAATCTGACTCTGCCTTTTGCCATATCTTCTTAGACTGCTGCTTCTCTCTTCACTCTTCCACCTCTTTTGTCACGTATTGCACCTCTACACATATTCCACAACAATTCAATCTGGAAATTTTTTCTTAAACAAGATGAAAATACAACAATTCTTACTACTAACCATTCTTCTGTTTTTATCTGTTTCTTTTCATTCCACTGTTTCGTTGATTCCTTCAGATGCATCAGCATTGTTAGCATTCAAATATAAAGCTGATTTGGACAACAAACTTGCATTTTCTGCTAATACAAGTTTCAGATTCTGCAAATGGAAAGGGATACAATGCTCGGAGAAGAAAGTGATTCGTATTGTTATCGAAAGTTTTAGCTTACGAGGTACGTTTCCAGCTAATACATTGTCTATGCTTGATCAACTGAGAGTATTGAGTTTACAAAACAACGCACTTACCGGTCCGATTCCGGACCTTTCTCCACTTATAAATCTCAAAGTTCTTTTCCTGGACCATAATTTGTTCACCGGTTCAATACCAGCTTCCATTTTCACTCTTCATAGGCTTAAAACCCTTGATCTCTCTTACAATAACCTCACCGGTTCAATATCCGTTGCAATCAACGGATTGAACCGGTTGTACTATCTCCGGCTTGACTCGAACCGGATAAACGGATCAATCCCACCGCTGAACCAATCTACCCTCCATATCTTCAACATTTCTCACAATGCCCTTTCTGGTCCTATTCCGGTAACGAAAACGTTATCCCGGTTTAAAACGGCGTCGTTTTCAGATAATAAAGGACTTTGTGGTGAGATCGTACATAAAGAATGCCGTCCAATACAACCGTTTTTCAGTCCATCCACCGCTGCCGCCACTAAAATTACGCCGCCGCCGTCTAAAACTCCGGCAGAACTCGGCCAAAACGAAGAGTTACGACAGGGTAGCCCGTTAAACCGTAAAGAAAACAAATCACATAAAAGATCCTTACTCATTATTGGAGTTTCAACAGCTTGTTTAGTCCTTTTATGTTCAGTTATACTATTAGCATTAGCGTCAAAGAAGCACAGGAACTCGAAGAAATTAGGAGAAACTAAGAAATCCGTATTCGATCCAAGTGTTAGCGGCAATGCAGAAGCAGTAATAAGAATTGAAGAAGACAACAATGAACTGGAAGAGAAGGTGAAGAGAGTACAACAAGGAATGCAGCAAGTGGTGGGTAAAAGTGGGAGCTTAGTTTTCTGTGCAGGTGAGGTGCAGGTGTATACCCTGGAGCAGCTGATGAGAGCTTCTGCTGAGCTTTTAGGTAGAGGAACGATGGGGACTACTTACAAAGCAGTGCTTGATAACCGTCTGATTGTATGTGTTAAGAGATTGGACGGTGGGAGATTGGCAGGTACAAGTCAAGAAGAGTTTGAGCAGCATATGGAATCAGTGGGCGGGCTTAGGCACCCGAATTTGGTTCCTTTTCGGGCTTATTTTCAGGCCCGACAAGAAAGGCTTTTGGTTTATGATTATCAACCCAATGGCAGCCTGTCTTCTCTTATTCATGGTACGTTCTTCTCCGTATATCTTGTATTTATTATTTATTTAGATGCGCATAAACTATACGAAAAATATTATTAATGCAATTATTTTGACCTTCGAGAAGTAAAATATAATAAAATGAACGGAGTATTTTGAAGGTGTTGTCCAATCAAATAGGGTCCATACACCATGCCCTATTGTTACAGTTTCTCAACCCCAATGTTCTCACAAACACAGAGAATCTTGCAGCTGACCCTGATGACATTTTTGGACACATATTTCTGTCATAGTAAAATACTTTTATGTTTGTTTAGTGTCCTAATCATAGATTATAGTATTATTATTGAAGCTAGTTCTGTCTGCATTAAGAATGTTATTGTTTCACGTGTGGTTGCGTAACGTGAAGTTAATAAGAGTACGGTGGTTAGCATTAATAATTCATAAAGTAATATAAATAATAGCTTTATTGCATATTTAATGCCACGACGGTACTGAATTTTTTTATCAATCTGACGTGGCATATGAAATAAAGTTTGACTGGTCAACCTGCCGCATGTACAGGTTCCAAGTCATCAAGAGCAAAGCCACTTCACTGGACTTCATGCTTGAAAATAGCAGAGGATGTAACTCAAGGACTTTCCTACATCCACCAAGCATGGAGGCTTGTCCATGGCAATCTCAAGTCATCTAACGTCCTCCTCGGCTCCGATTTCGAGGCATGCATAACCGACTACTGTCTCTCCATCCTAGCTGTCCCCTCAGACGATGACAATCCTGATTCTGTAGCCTATCAGGCTCCAGAAATTCGGAAACTGAATCACAACAACCACAACCACCACCGCCAAGCTAGTGCCAAGGCTGATGTCTATTCATTTGGCGTTCTTTTGCTTGAACTTCTAACGGGGAGGCATCCTTCGGAACATCCATATCTAATGCCAGATGATATGATACATTGGGTGAAGTCTACTAGAGAGGATCATGATGGTAGTATTGGAGAAGATAGTAAGTTGGAGATGCTTCTTGAAGTTGCTATGGCTTGTAGAGTGAGCTCACCAGAGCAAAGACCAACAATGTGGCAAGTGTTAAAGATGATACAAGAGATTAAAGAAGCTGTTGTTATGGAAGATAGTCATGAAATGGACCTTCTCACTGGCCCTCCTAAATCCTAATTCTTAGTTAAATCTTACTTATTATAAAATTGAATTTGTATTATATTCACTACATGAGACTTTTCAATATTAGTAATTGCAAAAGAAAGGAACAAAAGGGGAAAGACTTCGAGAGCCCGTTTGTATTGACTTAAAAAAGTACCGTTTAAGTTAAAAATAAAAAATTAAACCGAAATGACTTTTAAGTCAAAACAAAAAGTAGGGGAGACCTATTTTTGGTTTATTAACTTATTTTAAGTCATTTTAAACTTATTTTATGTCATTTTAAACTTTGTCAAACACTTTCTAACTTATTTTAAGTCATTTTTGACTTATTTAAGTTATTTTTTATATTTGTCAAATATTTTCAGAAGTCAAAAACTAACTTAAAAGTAGATTTGACTAACTTTTAAGCCAATTCAAATACCCTCTTATACTTTTGTTAGCATGTTGATAAGTTGTAGCAGTTTACTATCCCCTTATTTCACCCTATTGGCTAACTATGCCTTACTTCCAAACAAATAGGTATGTTTTACACTAGCTGTCAGCCTCCTTTATCTGGTCTAGGGATCAACATGTTGTTCGCAGTGTTTTTTTCTCAATAATATATTTCAATTTAAATTCTTCAAGATGTTAAAGTTAGGTTGAATCTTCAGTAAAGTAATGCAGTATTTAATATGCATCTACTCAAATTCAAGGAAAGAAAAAACAGCTTGCCATCTGGTTAGCTGTTGGCTGGCTAGCTACTTTTAGTTCAGTATTTGAATGTTGGATTTCTTTTTGTGTTAGAAGGTTGAAATCATAAAAATGGAGTAGTTATTATAGTTGGAGGGTGCACACATTCTTCACTTTGCACCTATAATTTTGTGGCTTTGATAGAGGTGAGTAGGTGTAACATTTTGTAGGTTATAAGTTGGACAAATTAATATTATAGCTATAAGCATTGCTGGATGCTTTAATTTCGAATTGAACCATTACTTCCTCCTTATAAATATGACACCGAATTTAGGTTTGGGAAATTTGTGTTCTATATTACAATATGGTGCAGTGGATGAAGTTGCTCATTTATTAACTAGAGTCTCGAGTATGAAAAAATCTTTGATAAAAAGCGTTTTTTCTGAATGGGACCTACGTGCGAATTCGGATTTTCTGACTCCACCCAATTTTTTTTTACAAAATTGAGCTAACAATTGAAAAAAAAGAAACCCATCCACTTTCAAATGGTCCCTTTGCCACAAAATTATTACTAACGTGCTTGTAGCTTCTTTGTTTATTATACCTTTGAATATATTTTGATGTATGCCTGCAAGGAAACAGCAGTCGAAATCAGAGTCATTCCACCCACCATTTGTACAGAAAAAGAAAAATTGGACCACAAACACCAGATACAACCATCCATCTGCTAAAAACTGGAAGCAAGGTCCTTTGACTAATACCGTTCATTGTTAATACCTAAAAATCGTGAGTCAACGAATGTAAATATCCTGACACTGCTGTTTGAATTATGATCGACTTTCAGCCTACTTGAAGGTCAATCATAATTCAAAAACTATCTAGCAACCACTTCAAACTTTTTTTTTTCCAAGAAAGTGTTAACAATCGTAACATCAATTCAATGTAATTAGAGAGCAAGCATGTTGGCCTTAAATTAATATACACATACAGATATATTTCTTTCTGTCTACTTGACCTTGAAGAGAGGCAAGCAACCCATAGCTTTAATAAATCAAGTGTCTTAATGTTAGGGTATGGCGCTTTTATTTGTCACTATAATCCAAGATAGAATTTTGAAACTCATTGAAATGGAATATGATCCTCAAATTAGGTGGGATGACCAATTTTCAGGTGCTTTTAGGCATTAGCCATAAAATTGTTACACTTCTATTGAAAACAAAATAAAATTCGGACAAGAATATCCTTGTTTAAAACATGAAAAAACTTATATGATTGGTTTTGAAACTTCAACAAAATTTTGAGCCCCATTAATTATTTTTTTGGCTTTGACACTCCAACAATTTTTTGAATTACATGAATCATTTGTTGGGTTCGATTTGTCATTTCTTCAAATTCCTTCACCTACCATAGTTTAGTTGGCGATAAAAGAGTGGCTAAGTATTAATAAAAACTTTAAAAATAGTGGTTTATATTTGATAAAAGGGGGTTAAAAATGGCTATTTTAACCCATCTCGTCGAGGAAATGACACATATATTCAACTGATAGTTATAATTAGCAATAAATAGCCCAACATTAATTAGCATTTAATAGACAAATAAAAAATAAGCACAAAATGGCCCAAATTAATAAATAACATTTTAATAGTTTTTTGTTTGTTTTCCTCGTATAACCAATCATCACTAAACAACAAAAATAACGGAAACATCTAAAATTATATATACAATATGTAATCGCCTAAAAAACGTAAATTATGTATTTTTATATATTGTTTTTGTTCGTTTCTTGATAAAAAAAATTCCAATTGTATACTTGATGATTGTATATAGGTAAAAGAATGGTGTATTCATTCACTTAGTATTAGTATACATTTATAGTTATGTTATCCCCTCCAGTGTATACATGTTAAAAATCAAACACTTTATGTATTCATTCACTTATAATATGTATACACTGCATTGAAGATTTTTTTTTAATCATGAACATCATGTATGCATTGCATTCATGTATACATATTCGTGTATTCATTCACTCAAAATTTGTATACATTTCATATTCTTTCTTCAGTGTGTAAATGAGGATTGCACATGAAATTTAAAATGCTCAATAGCAAACACACAAGTCGAATTGGATATCGAGAAGAACTTACATGGCTAAAATTTAGAGTTATGGATGGAGAATCCACAAAATTAGAATGAAAAACTTTTTTTTTAAATGAATAATCCTAGGGATAACTTTCTTAAACATGACAATTGATACCTACAATCAATTACTATTATGTAATTTTTTGCCTAAATTAGATATAAACTTCAATTTCAAAAATTAGAACCCCCAAAGATTGAACGACAATACAAGAGGGGATCAAACATAGGCTAACAGTTAGAGAAATTGACGAGTAGACATCAACAAACCATCAAAAAATTAAAAGCAAAAAAGAAAAAATAGACACTTTGAACGAATATTTTTATAGAACTCAAATATGTAAAACTAATAAACAAAAAGTAAATCATCTTTTATTCAAAGTAATGAAGAAGAAGAAAGAATTGAATAAATATTTACATAATCAATAAAAAAAAACACAATTCAAAAGAAACGTGTGTATGGAAATGAAGAGAAAAAAATCACTTCCCAATAAAAAAGGACACCATGTTGCCATCTCCTAAAATTATTTAATTTAATTAAAAAAGAATTTCCCAATACATGGACTACTAATTGCAAAATTTAATTTTTAAAAACCCTTTTTTGTAAAAAAAATAAAAGAGGGCTTTATGTTGCCAATTAGTAATATGGGATGTCATGCAGTGCCATTTTTTCCATCTCTTCTACTCCTGACATATTGGGCCTTCCATCAATGGGCTTTATGCACTCGGATTAACGGGTCATTATTGGACTGTATTTATGTTGGGCCATGGTGCTAAAAGCCCATTTATTAAAAGCCCAATATGTCAAGCAATCGGCCGAACGGGACGATGATAGAAGAGGCAGAGAGGAAAAATGAATGTTGAGGGTGGGAAGGGCCAAATATTCGAGAAACTGCTAGAAATATCTGGTTGTCTCTTCCCCATTTCTCTTTATCTTCATCTTTCCCTAAAATCTCCAATCAAATACTAACCTTTTGAGTAAAAGAAGATTCAGAAATAGGAAAACTCCGGCGACGAAAGTCACAGATCGCACCTGTAACTGAAATGCCATGGACAGTATAGATGCTGACATGATGGAGGCGGAGGCCACGGCGGCGGTGGCGCCACCGGTACCGCCACCTTCACCGTCACCGTCACTACTGCATTCAGGTTCAGACCAGGATGGTGCTATTAGAGGGATGCTTACTATGGCTCGCCAGCTTATCGATCAAGGCAAGCCTTCTCAAGCACTTCAAGCGGTAATCTCATTTCTCCCTATCTTTAGAGCATCGTTCTCCGGAATAAAAATTATTTGATTTTGAGTTCTTCGTTTAACTGAACATGAATGTTCTCTTACTAATTTACCTATTGAGTGAGCGAGTGAGTTTTATTTGAATGCTAGCTTTTTTGTTGTTGTGAAGATCACTAGGATCAAGGGCCTGTTTACTTGGAAATCTCTAACAGATTTAGTTTCACTTTTTGATTACAATTGTTATTATGTTATTTAACAACAAATTCATCTGTTAGCTAATAATCAACAATCGTCGTATGGAAGCTGATGTAGTCCTAATCATTCTTCAATAGTCACTAATCTAAATAATGTCAGATACTTAAAAAATTGGATTTAAAGGACAACTCATTTTCAAGGTATTGTATCAGATTATTTTCAAGGGTTTGGAATTGAGGTCATATTTATTGTCTGGGGCAAAGTGCAACACTTGCTCCATCATTACATATATGACCATTTTTTGTTAATTGTACTCTCTATATGTTACACAAGTTGTTGGCAAGAGACTTGTATCTTATTATATGTATAGGAGTCCATCTGATAATTCTTTTCGTTGTTTTTTTTTTTTGGATAAAAATTTCAACCTTGAGTTTTATGTATGTCTTGTGTTCATAATTACATAAGTGTTGGGTTTGCATATATGCTGGTTATATCCTAATTCTTGGCTACACATTCTGACGTCCATAGATCACATAGCCAATGGCATTATAAAAGTTGTATTAATATTGCAAGAGTATTTTCGTAATATGTATGGAAGAGATTTACACCTATCTATTGTGGGATCTAAGATACACTATCCTGTAATGATGTCAGTGAAGATGCGCTAAGAGCATCTCTTTCGATAAATACAAATAGATTGCTAGATGAGATAGTCACTTCATGGATAAGTTTCTATGAGTTTAGATGATTAAATAGGCACTGTGGTGAACGTGGTCAATGTATTCCAATACAGGTAGTGCGATGGTAAGACACCCTATAATTGGTACTTGACATTACCTGTCAATTCCATTGCTTATTGAAGGATGAATACGAAAGATATGTAGATAACATGTTAAGATAACATTAAACATTTTATTACCGCATTGTAACTTTGTAAGTTTGTCAGTGGGATGTCTTGAACAGTGTCAATATAACTGAAGTAGCATATCTGCCACTCCATTTTTTTTTGGACATGGTAACAGATTGTGTATATAAATCAGCATCCCCAAGGCTGGTATCCAAAAAAATTCAACACTGAAACTACATCCAAGAGAGTGAAATAAAAAAATATCCCTAAATTCTATCTCATCTTATAAGGATTCTAGAATGTCTACAATAGAAACTGGGTCCTCTCCTCTATATACTCTGAACTGTACCAATAACAAAAAGTTAGAATGAATTCATTTTAATCTATTGTATTAATCTACTGTTCCCTTCAAAACACCAAGAGTTTCTCCAAATGGTCCACTGTATTATTGCTGGGACAATTCTCCATCTGTCTTTGTTTGTGCTGCCACCACCCAGTATTCCAGCTTATTAGAGCCTGTCCTGTTCTTTCAGGCATAGTCCACCTTATGCCTCTGTAGCTGGCCACTTTACATAGAAGAAACAGACAGTTAATTGTCTCAGCATTTTGTTCACGGAAATAGCATCTTGGACACATATGTATGCCCCTCTTCATGAGATTCTCCTGAATTAGAACAGCTTCTTTCATGACCAGCCAAGTGAATAAATAGCCACTTTATAAGGAATTTTGAATTTCCAGATAAGCTTCCAAGGTAGAAAGCTGTCTGAGATCCCATTTGATTCATATCCTTATAGGCCTGCCTCTCCATACTCTTTTCTGGGATATGTTAGAAAGTCTATTAGACTCTCTGTTTCTGTGTCTTAAAGTTTAAGAAACAAAAAGTTTTTGTGTTGGTGTTATTGTAAAATATGATTCAGTAGTACACCTCCTTGTGTTTTGAGGCCTACTTGACATGTAACTTATGTTTCATCTAAAATTTCTGATGAGTTGTATCTTGTATGGATTTTCTACATTTTCTATTTTCCTGATTAGTGCCATGTATTGTCCCCATTGTTTTTATGGATTAGTTGAGCGTTATGTATAATGTAAAATTACATTTCTAACTATTTTATTGGTAGAAATTTTCATTAGATGAGTGATAAGAAAATGAATCTTTTTCCTTCTATAAATAATTAGTTACTTGTGGAAAGTGCATTCAAATATGTAAAAAGCAATCATCTTATTTCAGTTTTAGCTGATATACCTGTTATCATCCGGCAATCAGTTCTAGTCTTTTAGCTTCTCCTTTAAACAATTTAGCATTGTGTTAACTATATACAATCAGTTGTGATTGAAAAGCATGAAAATATGTTGCAATCATCTTATGTCAGTATATCCTGATTATACCTATAGCCATCTTGGAAACAGATCTAGTCCTCTTAGCTTCCCCTTCACCAACTTAGCATTATGTTAAGTGTTAACTATGAATAATTAGTTACTTATGTAAAATGCATCCAAATATGTAAAAGCAATCATCTTATGCCTACAGGAATCAGATCTAGTTTGGTTTCTCCTTTCAACAATTTAGCATTGTGTTATAACTTATAACTGTTTGTTGATTTTAGTGACAAAGCACCAATCGGTCTAAGAATAACAAGAAATTCTGGTTAAAACAGCTAAATAAACAAAACCAAATAGACCCTTTAAAATTCATTTCTCAGAAAAATTTCGAAGAATTTTGTACTTTGGTGGAAACAGTAGAAGTGGATAATTATGTGTAAATCAGTCTTTCCAGGAAAATGAGCTGTATGGAACAGATGGCAGGCTTATGCAGTTGCTATCTTTTTCCTTCAATTTGTCCTCTTTTATCTTTTGGGGGATTTTTTTACGGGGAGGGGCAATGAAGCTTCGGTTTGTAATCTTATATCTGTTAGCTTAATCTCATGCAATGGTGCCTGTAGCAGTTACATTGATCTCATGACTTTGGGTTGCAAATTTTAGAGGAGCATGCATGCTATTGCATTGTGTCTAGTTCAAGTGCCATCTATTCTTGAATTTTAGTGACACATCTGTATCATGAACACTTTGCATTTTCTGCCTGTGTTCATGTTAATCTCGTACTAATCAAATAAGGCAACAGGTGGTGACGGCCATGAGAACCAAAGGTGGTGAGCTGGCCGTAATTCAAGCCCTTAATCGTGCCCAGGAGCTGTACAGAAATAAAGTACAGGCAAGTGTGGCTGCAGATGAGCTGGCTTCTTTGTTTGCTGAGTGTGCCATTGCTGAGGCCATCCCTACTATATCCCAACCTTCTGAACATAATACAGTGGATAAACCAATTGAAGTAGATTCTCATGGAACTTCAATACTATCTGAAACTGGCAGAAAACAGATAATGTTTGATGCATTCTCTGACGGAAGCAGCTTTGTTTGCTTACAATGTGGTGGTCTGGTTAGCACCTATCGTAAAGATGAACACTACTCATTCTGGTGTTGCAAAAATTGAGTTAGCTTTCAACTTGAATGGAATACATTCCCATGCCAAGTTATTGGACTTAGTGCTGCATTCTTAATGTCACTACTAATCATGATATGCATTTTAGCCAGTGGGTTCTCTAGTATACATAATTTGCTCTTGGCTCCAGACCAGACTTACGTTCTCACTAGGCATGTTGTTGTAAGCACTACATGGCCGATTTGGTAGCTGAAGTTATGAATGCATGGTCGCACTGAAAGTCATATGGCTATAGATATTGACAATAGAAAATGTATTCAGTTTTTGGAGTATGTTGTGCACTTTGTACTATTCAAGATGTTTTGAAATAATTGAAGCATGTCCCTATAGTGAGCTTGTATATCATGGTTTCCCTCTAAGAATTAGCATCACAATTACTGTTTGCACCAATTGATTATGAAACTTGCCATAAGGGTGCTACTGTTCTAGTAGCATGACGGGTGAGTTCCAAAATATATCACCACCAAAAGAAAACTCAAAATATTAACTTGACATGCGTACATTAGTGGAAATTTCTTTCGTGCTTGCCTAAATAATAAATCTGTTGAACAGACATATCAAGTTCGTTTTGCTAGCTTGGCCCTGGTAAACAAATTTATCTGCAGCTGAATATATTATCTCTATATAAGTGGAGTTAAATGTCGTCTCCTGTAGAACAAAGTGTTCTTTACAACACGTATATTCACAATGGAGATAACGAAAAGAAATAGGCTCAGCAACTACAGAAAATGCTGCATTTATCATTACTTTAAACAAAATCAATGTTGTGTTTACACACAATGTACATTACACAATTATCAAGAATGACACAAAAAAAAAAAAATTCTAGGCAAAGGATCTTTTGACATTGCTTATGAGACCAGACGGAAGAATTCCTTCAAGTTGATTGTTATTTGCCAAAATGTATACACAAATCTTGACCTTGTGCCTATAATCAATCTACTAGCGACTTCAGCATCCACCTTCTAAGTATTCTTCTGCAATTACTCAGGCAATCCTATGTAGCTTCAACATATTCACAAGATGCTGCGGTTTGAAAAATTCAAAAATCTAACAATTCCCAACTAAAACCCACTCCTGTAAGAACACCTAAAACCAAAATCCCCTTCACGGCTCCACCACTTCAACTGCAATCTGCATATATAATACCTGTATTCAAAACTGCATTAACCCTTGAAGAAGTGAAAGAAATTTACAGTACAATTAAAAAAAATACTACTTACCAGCACTTATTTCCAGTTTCTTCCTGTACCATGTGTAAGGGCTCGAAAGAGATCAGAATAGAATATACAGTTGCCGCGAATAAGCTAGCGACCATTTCTGCACATAATATCTGGCAGAGCCTGGGTACGAGGTCGTGACCTCATGATTGTTTCATCACTGTGTCTAATCCACTCAGAGAGTTTCCAAGGTTTTTGCCACTTCCATTTGAACTGTAATAGCCACTGATGATGACTTCTCTTCCACCTCCACAACTTCCCACCTTGTCCTGCTACTGTTAATTTCTTCATTGTCAATTGGCCTAGCGGTACCATCTGCATCATTAGAGCTTACTAATCATGCTAACTCAGAGTTAGGCAACTGTCAAACAGTCAAAGAAGAAAAAGTAAAATAATAAAGCAACCTTTCGTGTTTGATCCATAAAGGCTGCTGCCTCTCTGACTGACGCATTAGCAATGCCAGCTGAATATTTGAGTTGTTTTTGTGCTGGTACAGGGATTGGAGATGGTGGACCGCTCATTTCGTCAACAAAGTGCTTGTTAGAGTTACCCTGTTTCACATTACAACATCATCAGTGTAAGAAAATGTAAAATACAAGACACCACTAACAGCTCTAAAAAGGAAACTAAGATCAGAATAAATCCATTTTGATTTTGTCGACAGATGTATTACTCAAGGACAGTTAAAGAGTATGCATAAACAACACCAAATAGAGTTCTTTTACAGCATGGTAACATAAAGAAGAAAAAACTTTGACAGCTGAGGATCTGAACATGAGCACTTAAAGTTGGGAAGTAAATAACCAGATAGCATACAGAAAGTCTCAATCAGCCATGTATTGCAAACTCACAATGCATTATTTGAAAGCCTTGCATGCTTCCCTTAAAGTAAGATCTAAAACACTTGATTTATGATTTGGGACAAAAGAAAATACAAGCGAGTATGATCCTACCGAAGCTGGGGAAGACAATGCAACTGAAACAGCTTGCTTAAGCTCCTTCTCAACTTCCTTTCTCCTAATTTCACTCTGCCGCAATAGACCAATGAGTTCTTTCATCTGCTCTTTCATTTCCTTGATCTCAAGCTCCTTCTCCCAAAGTTGGCATCTGGATGAAATAATGAGAGTTAAGGCAAAGAAAACCCCAAAGACTGCCACAAAACAGAACTAAAGATTTTGCATCTACAAATTTTCCTCATAGTTAATAGCTAGACATCATGTCAGAAACCTTCAAGAATTCTTATGAACTGTGAGGTGGAAACCGTTATCGCAAGTACCACATGAGGTAGTTGTAAACTGGAGTATCTTAGACACTCGTTCTTAAGAAAATCTTCTGTCCTCCTTTTTGTTTTTTTGACTGGGATGATGTGAAAGTTTACATCTGTGTGGACATAGGGATGTCCCACTTCCATTACCATTTGATGTCCCCAACTCACCGAGATCGAAAAATCTTTTGGCTAACTCTCACTATTGGACCCAAGCAGTACACACCTAATCCACTGCTAAGCTCAAACGATCTCTCTCCAGCTAGTGTTTAAGATAATTTTAGTCGCACTAGAAAAATGAGCATACAAATTCTAGCCATCTTTACTTATGAAGTTTCGGACCAAACTTCATATTACAAGATACAAAACATATCAGTAGAATACCTTGTATCTGCAAGAGAATTGAACATATATTGGAGTAAACTTTTTGCATCCCCCATCGAGCGTAGTTGGTTCCAACGCCCACGATTGCTAAAGGCACGCTCTCGTTCTTCTGCTTCTGAAAGTTGTGAAGCCATTGCAACTAGAGAATTGGATGAAATGCCTAACATATTTTCTAGAGAAGCAATTCGTGCCATTCTAGCATTTGGCGACATTGAAGATGCCCTGAACAGATAACCACAAATAGAAATCCATTAGATTGAACTTTCTTTAGCACTTTAATGTATTCTTTTAATGCTACTTAGGCTGCATTTTGGAGATACTGAATCCATTATTGGCAGATAGAACAGAGATGCATTCAGTATATGTACCTAGAGAAACCATTTTTACCCCTTGGAGGACTCAGTCCTTTTGAAGCAAATTCATCAACTTGTTTCAAAACTGCTAGCTCTTCACCAAGTGCAGCTCGTCTGAGATGAAAAGAAACGATTTTAAAGATGCAACCCAGAATATGTTGAGTGTGCACACATTAAGAGAAGATTAACTTAGGTAAAACAAATTTTGTTACATACACTTGACTTTGCTTCTCATACTCATGACGAACTTCATGAACATTCACCATCACTTCAAGCTCATGATCAAGCCAACGTTGCAACAATTTCTCATTGCTCTGAATGCAAAAGATACTTGAATAAATTATTTGATCAAATAGGTACAGAAACAAAGTCCATTAGAGTCCAAAAGAGAGCAAGATTGGTACCTGTCCATTTGCTACATGGCCATTGCTAGTAACTGCATGATAAACAGAACATTAGTAAGTTTAACAAGTTAAAATGCAAATATAAGGCATTTTTTAGATCAAAATTGCACCAGTAATCCACAAATAAGGCATCAGATAAAAGCTAAATATAGTGCAAACCTGAGTTCTCGCGACCTGAAGATTTACGCGCTTCTAGCAATTCTTTTAGTCTCTTGGTTGCCATTGCAGCCTCCTCTGTCTTTCTTTGAAGAACCTGAAATAAATCCATGATGCCATATAACATTCAGATATTGACTGTGATCACCTACTTGCACGAGCTTGACTCTTGTACACGTTATTCTAGTAAGCCATCAATTTATGTTACCCATTTAACAAAAGCTGTCAAAGGTATAATAGCTACAATTGGGCAGGAGGTGTACTGTTTCCTCTCTAATACACGCTTCATTTTGATTGAGCTAGGTCTTCAAGAAATACAAGTTCTTTTCTGAACTTGTGATCAAAGTTAAAAAAAAATTAGAAACAGGCTGTCTTCTACTCTGGTACAAATAGATGTTCAAGTGGCTGAATTTTTCTTCGAGGATCGAATCAAATGCCCAATTACACATATCCATTCCATGAAGTAGAATTGTAGCACTTAAAAAACAGATTGATTTTTTGGGTGTCACAACTAGAATGTACATCAAGTTTCTCTTCACTAAAACAGTTGGAGAAGAATGAAAGACAATGCAAGGACATAGAGGAACGTAAAATGCTCACCATCTTTTGTCGTTGATTTAAAGCTAGCAATTTATGTCTCTCATACTCATTCCTTCTTCCTTCCTTCTTCAACTGCATTCCAAAGAAATTATTGTTGGTAAACAACATAAAGTAGAATTTCGGTCAGAATGAACTGCATTTGCCTCATCAGTACTGTGCATATAGAGAAGACTGTTATGAAAACATGTGTATCACTGAAATAGCAGGAACGTCATCCCTTTCAGATAATGGCTATCCACCATACTACAAGATGAAGAACCGTTGGTGAAAAAAGTAATCGCAGGAAACTACCTGCAGTAACTCTTTCTCCCGTGATGCCTTCCACTGACGAAATTGTTCAGCCTCTTGTTTAATTTTATGCTGCAACTGTACCTATAAAAGGGAAGAATATAAGTTGCATATAAGTGATGCAAATGATGTTAATCAAAGAAGAAATGGGAACCAACCTTCTGTGCCTTGATTGATTGTATCTCATCTTGCAAGCGCTTTGCTGCGTCATCACTCTTCTGTTTTTGCTTTAAAAGCTGAACCTGGTTCTCTTGTTTTTTCTTAAGATCTTGTATCTGTCAGCAACATGTTATAGATATTAGAGTTAACCATGACACTCATGTCTATACGATGAACATGGTACAATTGGGCAGACCTGTGCTTCAAGGGACTTTAGTTTCTGGGAATGTGTATCTTGCAATTTTATTGCTTGTCCATCATTATTGGCAAGGTTTTCAACCTCAGCTAATAATCTATCTCTCTCTAGCTGCATCAAAAGTTCAGTTCAAAGCAGGGAACATCAGTTTGACAAGCTCAGATGACAATGTGTGATAGTATTTTCATTGCTTTTTATTACCTGCACCGCTCTTTTCTCCTCTTCAAGTTCCAAAAGTTTCTTTCCAAAATGTTGCTTCAGAGCCATGGTATTATCAGAGCCTCCATAAAGTTTCATTTCAGACTGAATTGATACACAGATATATACATCAAATCATCACATGGATCAAAGACAGGAAAACGAGCAACCAGAGAAGGTTATCATCTAACAGAAATTCACAACCAAGAGTGCTATCCCATGTTTAAATTCCATATTCACAATTAATATTTTTGATTAACTATATTCACAATTAACTGCAAGTACACCAAATAACAAACATCTAAATATGAGTTTATTACATAAAAAAAAAAAGACAAAACCATTAAGTGCAAGAGTCTGCCTTACCTCCTTCTGCTCTAAGCGCCTATTTAATTCGTTCAATTCTTTGTCCATTGAATCTTGCAGGAGGGTATGTTCCCACTCTTTTGCTGATTCGTCATCCATATCTCCTGAATCACCTGGCAGTACAGAGACTGGCTCCAAATCAGAATATTGAACTGCTTAGATATTAAGGTTTTTAATTCTTAAAGACAATGAAAATGGCTTTCTTATCCAGAAAACATCCCAGTCCGAAACATACTAATCGGGATATAAACCTCACTGAAAAGTACCAAAAGTTGAGAATGGCATACCATTTTCACTCATTGGATAGTCAGATGATTCTATACTTTGCAAACCCCTTTTGAGACCTTCGCTTTTTACTGAAAAGACACCAGTAGCCTGAAATCAAGATGAAGATTCTGTTATGCAACTAAGTTAGAATACCGTTTGTCTTTCTTTTTTTCATATAACCAAGAAATCTCCTCTGACCAGTGCCCCCTCCCCCACCTTCTCAAATTAAATACCAATTACCAAGGTTTTATTTGCCACAGGGTTCGACCATGATGTGCGCCTACCCACACATCACAAGCTGAACTCTTACCACTAGACCAAAGCCCTGGAGGCATGATAAATCCTCTTTCCTAAAATGGGTTCAATGAATGTGAGGAGCTCAATATATACCTTCACTTCTGCCCCACACTGCTCAGTGCCAGAGCCTCTTCTGCGGTACTCATGCAATTCTCGGCTTAGCTCCTCATTATTAGCTTCAAGCCATGAAATCCTATCCTTGAGTACCTACACGAGAAATTTCCAATTAAACCTCATTGTCATTTAGTGAAGATCGAAGACTATCCACAGCTTGATTTAATGTTTAAAAAGGTGACATCTACACCCAAAGCACAACAAAAAGTTACCTGAATTTCATCAGAGGAAGCACCTCCACCACGGGCGCAGAGTTCTGCCTGCAAAAACTCTAGTTGTTGCCTCATCTTCAGCATCTCACTAGATACAGGATCTCGATTGATCTGGACAACGTTTAGTGAGAACTAATTAGGATTTTTGATCCAGAAATGACAAGAAGAAACATGAAATAAGATTTGTCATCAGACTTACAACTGGCTTGTTCTGAATATTGCGAGCCCGATTTGCATATTTAAGAGTGTTCAGAGTTTCTTCAGCATTTATATCAGCAGGACTAATGCATGCTGGAAAACACATAAACCAGACATAAGCAAGAACATAGAAGGAATCTACTTGTCGCCAGAACAAGGCAAAGCAACATCTCAAAGATCATCAAAAAGAAGGATAACAATTCTAATTAAATTCAAAGATACAACTACATATTTTAACTTAGATAAGCTTAATTTCATTCTTCCACAGACCACTTTTATTTCCTTGGTTTTTCTCCTTTAAACTGACAACGGAAGATGTATGTTATAAAAATTGTGACATCATGTGCCAGATAAATACACCTCATGATGTGTCCCAAAACAACAGTACTTTGACTTCCTCACTGTATATCACCCACCCACAGCCTAACAGGCTCAAAAGCAATAAGAGTTATATGTTCATTATATAACATCACCTCAAGAATGACAAACTACCTACTAGAAAATCTTTGCACTTGTGCATTTGGCTGTTTAGCATGGTTTATTCTAGGTCCAGAAGAAAGAATGTAGTTGGTATCACTATGTCATGATCAAAGTGCTTTCATTGGCAAGATCCAAGTGTAGAGAAGTTCAGTGAAAATGAAACATAAAAAAGTTGTTTCACTGTGATATTCAATCCATTCAAAATAGAAAGAATAAGTTGTTAAACTGGAATTACCTATCATGACTGTCCGACTGTTACCGCCAAGGGAATCCTGTCATTACCAGAAACTCTTAATTAAAAAAAATCAACAAATAACTCAATTAACAGACTAGAAATAAATCAACAAGGGAAAAACAGAAACGAAGTCAAAGATTTTGCCAAATCCTAAAAATATCAAGCGCCCTAATATGGTATTATTGCCGAACTCAGTCCACGATTTTTTGTTCATTTCCTCTCCACTGAGATGATTTCTTCTTTCATGTGATAGATTCTCCAGTGAGAAAACATATAACTAATGTCAACTGACGTTTTACTGTTACACAATAAAGAGTATCAAGGATTTCAGGAGCACCTTTCAATATTAGAAGTCAGATTACAACACTGGAAAAGGGCTGGACTTATTTAGATTGGCCGTTGGAAAGACTTTGAAGAAACCATTTATTATAAATATTGCATCATAACTATTGACAAATTGAGAAGCAAGAGGTGTCCCTGATGTCAATGACCATTTTAACAACAAAAAGTGCAAAGAGAACTCATTTGATCAAATGAAACAAGAGGTAGTTTTGCATTATTTTGATCAAATGAGTTGTCACACCCGTTCACAGTTTCAGCATACAGTACACAAATGAGGAGATGCTCAGACAGAAATAACATGTTTTTCCCATTTCTTAGAACTGAAACCAACCTGCAATAGCCGAGTGAGTTTACTGTCTCTATATGGAACATGGACGCCTTCTTTCCTCTTTTTCTCATCTCCAAGTGCACTAATAACATTTCCAAGTGCAAGAAGGCCTCTATTAATGTGAACTCCTGCAATGAAAAATATGTCAACAACCATCACACAAGAGACACTTTCAAAACCAGTAAGAATGTCAAAATAAAGAACCTTCTTTAAAACGGAGACCATCTGATCCTGTTCGTTTAGCTCTCTCTGAACCAGCAAGATCAACCAAATGCAGCTTAGCACAAAGATATTCTTCAGTCATGCATTCATTGCTATTTCCATCATTAGAACCGGACTTGCGCATTTGCTCCATTGTAATGGTGAATATGGCATGAGAGCGACTGAAAAGTGAAAGCAAAAGGGAGGTAAAGTTATCTCATCGTGTAGTATAAATGTTTTACAAATAATTCAGCAGAAAGAATGCATCTTCATGAGTCAATAATCAATCCTTTCAGGATTCAAGCAACGACTGGATTTAATAACTCTTGCTATTGGTTTGCATTTGTTGTTACATTAGATTTTACAAATTTAAGTGTCAAAGTATTACTCGTTGCAACATTTTCTTCCTTAACAAAGGAGAAAGTCCACTAGTAAATTATTGGAACATTAGAAATTTGAATCAAATCATGTGATCTACAACAGATGTTTTAGTTAAACGTCATGGAAGCAGGTACTTAAAGAAGCTAAAAGACATGTTTTCTGTAAGGCTTCTTCAGTTTTATAACTTCATTGCCATGTTACCAGTAAGAAATAAATGTAGATTAATTAACTTGCAGAAAAAACAATTCATAGTAGAAAGAGCAAACGTGCAATAAAATACCATGTTCGCTTCAATGGATTTTACTAAAGTTACTTTCCTGCTTAGTATTCTATGAAGTAACACCTTAAAAAAGAGAAATATAACTATAAAAAGAAAATATTTAATGTCAATTTTTATTCTTTCTAAATTTTGGAATTCAATGTGAGAATCTATCATATTTCAGACAAAAAGCAAGCAAAGGAGTAAAATAGTACACACTATACAATTAACTACATTCCAACCTTGATTGGTTATTCATGTTTGTACTGCCTGTGGCTCTGCTAAGTGATCCTTGCTCCAGACAGTCCGCCATTTCTTTGAGTGTTCTTACACTGCGTTCGGTGGATCCTGCCAATGTAATAACACCATTTGAAGATTCACGAATTTGTATTGGAGGTTTCCCAGGAATATTTACTTTTCCATTGTGTCCATTTGCTGTCTCTGATTTGTTAACAGAGACAGAATCCAGCAAATCTTGTACTTCTTCTTTGTGTATCTGGAAAAGGAATTATCTTAGTAAAAATGTTACATAATTACTTTTACAAGGTATGCATAATGTTATTCAACTGGAAAGCGTGTCCAGAGGAGGTTTGTACAAAGAACCACGTGATAGGGGAATATGTTTATGTCCAAAAATAGTTTGATCAGTATGTAGAAACTAGAAACAGTGTTTGATCAGTCTATAGGTTCAAAGTGAAGAGAACTGAAAGCAGACTATAGTGTTATGCTGCATTGACAAGAAACTTCATATTGAAAGAATTACCACGATCTCCAGTATTGTCTAACTAAAAGAAGTCGGGAAAATGCATAACCCATGAGCAAAGTCGATCATGTGCAGAGTTGCCACCACGTTTCTCATCCATCTATTTCAATTAAGGATAAGAGCATGTAAATGTAGCTAGAATTTGGACTTGATGTATAGTTTGAGTTCATCATGGAAGTATAATCCTACTATGGCTAAAAGAAGACCACGTGTTCAATTAACAAAGCCACTCAGTTTTCTTATATGATCAATTACTTGTGATCTCAACTACACCAAAAAGAATAAATGCAGTAATTTAGGGAACATAAGAGTCTTCTAGTAGATGCTTTGGTTTAAAAGCAATTTGCTTGGACAAAATACTCGCCAGTAACTAAAATGCTTACAGCCTCAACAAAATGAAAAGGGGATCACAGGAAAATTTGTAAGGGCACACCGCACACGTAGGTTAAGATTTCAGTAAACATAAATAGAACAGAGAAAAGAAATGAGTAAGTAAACCTCAATGAAAGACACATGCAACTGGAACTCTGCCTGATTCTTCGAGGTCTCAATCTTGTTGAACAAAGAATTCATAACATGGGGAATTAGTCCAGTTTGAAAACCATCTTTGAAACCAGTTCCCATGGTGTATGTTTTTCCTGAACCTGTCTGCATTTTGTTGAAATGTAAATTGAAAGAATATGGAAACAAATGGCAAACTTAACTGTAGCCTTTATTACAGACCCACACTTCTAGTATTACCAAAATGATTTACCTGGCCATAAGCAAGAACAGTGGCATTATAACCTTGAAACAAACCATCAACAAGAGGAGCCACACACTCTTGATACATGGCAGTTGAGGGAGAAGCTGTGCTCCCGTAAACATGATCAAAAGTAAAGGAATGTGTACCAATTTGCACCTGCATGCCCACCAATTATCAACCTTAATGTCAATCTAAATCAGCAACAACAAGATCAACTACCCAGTGTAATCCCACAAAGCGAGGTCTGGGAAGTATAGAGTGAACGCAGACCTTACCCCTACCTTGGAGGTAGAGAGGTGTTTCCGATAGACCCTCAGCTCAAGGAAAAAAACAGTCCAAAGCAGTACAAAAAAAATAACGGAAATGAAGAAGCCATGACTCAATAGAAAACAGCACCACATTAAACAACAACAAGATAACTTCCCAGACTTAAAAGGGGAGGATTTGCCGAAAGCAGAATCTGTAGTTTGCGAGCTACCACTAAATAAATAGGTAACCTTTTTACGTTAAAAATATTAGCTCCATAAGGGAATTAGTTAACATGCATGATTCTTTTGGAAACAATAATCTTCAATCAGGTGGATTATATTGCATTTGCTACACAACTGAAAAATACAAAATCATGAAAAAAAGGTCAATCACAGATCAAAATGAAACACAAAATCTCAGGGAAAGCAAACTAAGATTCTAGTCTTTGTATGAACCCCAGATAGTACCAAAAAAAAAAAATTCTTTTTCCCCAATTTCAATTCTCAAACAAAAATTCTTCTTCCCCAATTTAGAACCACACTAGAATGAACCAAACACCAATCAAATAAATCGAAGTAAATTCGATTAGCTTTCCGCAATCAAGCTTATTCACAGTTTAATTCTTCACCATTTTAGCACAAACTATTCATCTACCATTGCGCTATCAATAAAATCAGAGTAAAAACTCCGATCACACCAACACGCATAACCCATTAACTTAAAACCTTTAAGAACTTCACCATCACACAATAAGATCCAGATCTCCAAAGGAAAAATCACCAAGTTCAGAAACAAAAAGCTAAATACAAAGTTAACTGAATCCAAAAACGCTGAACCCAGTACACTAAAAAGTCCAACAATGGTGAATCCGAGAATGACATTGCACTATTACAGTACCTGTGGCTTCCCATGGACCACAGAAACACAATCTTTACAACCCTGAAGCTTCTCATCTCCAATAAGTGGCCTTATATGAACTGCTACTTTAACACAACAATCCTCCCCAGGAGAAGTTTCCATAACAAATCCTCAACTACAAAAACACAGAAAGTAGTAATGAAGGTTTGTGGGTAGGGAAAAAAAACAGTTAGCTTAGAAGATTTTTTTCACGGAATTGGAAAGGAAGTTTTAAGGGACCAGAAAGTGATGCAGCAGCAGCAGCAACAAATACAAACAGCTATAAGAGTCGGTGATAAAGAAAAATAGAAGAAAACAGAGAGAAATGAGGAAATGAGAAAGAGAGAGAATGGAGAAAAGGGTAATTGAGGAAAATGGAGAAGAGAGAGAGGGGGTGGGGTGGGGGCAATGGAGGAGTATATCACAAGATGGAGATTGTGACTGTGGCTTATGGGTGTGTAAGTAGTGTAACTACAAGGACAGCAACAATGACAACAACCACTAACATAAGATGTTTTTTATTTTTTATTTTGTTTGTTGCCTTACTTTATTATTATTAATACTTTTGAGATTGATTTACATACCAATAATTAACAATCTATAATCTTTCATTATGGTATATGTAATCAGATTACATAATTTGAATACATATTAGGATAAAATAAAAATAGGCCTAATACATATTTAGTGCCTTAAATTTATCCGAATATGTTATTTGTATATTCGAACTAAGCCATGTTTCAATTAAATACCTTAATTTTTAATAATGTATTTCAATTAGACGGTTTAAATTTTGAAGAAAAAGTTATACGTGTTTCCACTCGTTTATTACATAGTTAAGTTAAACACTTAAAAGAGCTTTTTTTTTACTTTGCATCAATTAATATTTATGTCCTCCAACTTTGAATGTATACACTTAAATTTATATAGAATTGAACAAGTAGACACATCACGTCCTACTTGTGTCCTAACTCCTACATGCATTATGTCACATCGGAAGAGCATGTTTACTTGTGGAGATCGAAACTTGATTAACATAAACATCAAATAAAGTCACATTAAAAAATATAGTTATATATTATAATTGAAATATATCACCTCTTTTAATCATACGATTCAATAAGTCGTAAAATCCGAGACATATTCTAGTCCTTTAATTGGACCCTTTTACCATGTTTTTTTATTTATTGGTTGTTGGAGTCTTGGTCTTTACTACTAGAAAGAGTGCACTGTGCACAGGAGCCCAGACGGTTATTGGCTTCAATGCTTACATGTCAGAACTCCACAAGATTTATAAACTACTCTTTCCTAAAATGCCCTTGGCGGCTTCCTCAACGGCCTCTGTCTCATTTCCCGTCAAAAACAGTTGTCCCATACACTTTTGGTCGTTATTCTATTTACAAGTTACAACTCTCCCCATTTTTACTTTCTTATTTTTCTTCTTTATTAAATTATTTCATAGAACCAACATGGATTGCGATACATTGATAGATTTGTTCCATCTTTAATCAGATGTTTCAGGATTGAACCGCGTCACTTTTGAATGGTTCTTTAGTGCGCTATCTAGATTTAATCGGAGCTTCATACAGGCTCTGTACACCAGATGGAAAATAAAACAAATGGAGTATTTCATAGACAATATTAATACTTCCTCTATTTAAAAAAGAGAATTATCTAGTTTGACTTCACGTGAAAGCTGAAATTAAAGCATTGTCAAAAAAAAGTGTTCTTCATTTTAAAACAGACTAAAAAGAAAATTAAATCATTCGTTTTGACTCTATTCGAAACGGATGGAGTATTATACTTACAAGTATATATACATGTATAGTAATAAATACTCATTCATACTTATTAATTAGAAATTTTAAATTTAAATCTTAAAAATAAATCGCATTCATTTAAATATGTTTTACATCATAATATAATTATTTTCGAAATAAATTTAAATTAAATCAAACCTCAAAATAGACGTATAAGGGCTAAAAGTGTAGTGAAATGACCAAAAAAGAAAAGGTGTATCACAAGCACAGCGCAAACCACGTGATATATGGAATCGTATACGATTACAAGGAAGATGTTGTTTACATTTTCTTTGGCACGAGCATGCCTAGTTGGGTTCGTGTTTTTTATATTCTATACTTTACTTTATTATTTTCTTTCATTACTCCTATATTTATTTATTTTTTATTATTATAATATAGAGTTGTCTACCATCCTATTAATTAAGTGGGGCATGAAAATTCTATTAGCTAGGATCAGTAGGGTGTACGGGACAAATAAGTTCAAGGATGATTAGTTAAATAATTAACCAAAATATTGTGTTTTAAATATATTATAAAAATATTATGATTTTGTTTGTTTTATTTTATGTATCTTAGTTTAAGCATAGAATTTAAGAATATAATAAAACCTTTTAAATATTATGGTTTTAATGAAGTTTGTTAAAAAAAAATTTTAAAGTTAGTACTAAATATTAAAAGTGATACATTTGTGAGTAATTAAGTATTTAAACACGTGATAAAATATTTATTATTAAACACTTTCGATTCAACTTTTGAACATATTTGATGTTTTACGGTTTATCAGGTATATAATTAAAAAAAATTAATATATTTAAAGTGATTAACTTGTTTACGTAATAGACATTTCAAATTAAAACACACCAAAAAAAATCAAAAAATTAATTGAAAGTATCTAATAAAATCATTTTATTACGTATTCAGATGCTCAACTTACACAAGTCGTAGTTTAATTAAGTATCTAAATATAATTTACTTATTTGTTTAAAGTGGGAACTTCAAATTGTTACTGTTTGCAACAAATTTTCTCCATGATTCGAGGGTCGTTAATGACATATTTCTCAAACGTAGGAGGTCATATTTTGATATCTTTATGAATATCTCATGGATTTATGAAATTTTTGAGACAATTTTCAAAGAAATATAATACCCTTTATATAAATATGCATTAGTATTTAGAGTAAAGTAGCCTCGAAAAAACCCTAACTGAAATAGGACGAGTCATATAAAATTCTGACTACCGTTACTAAATGGGATCTATGAAATATTGGAAAAAGAAAGGATTTGTGAAATTAACACCATGCCCACAGTAGTTTAAGGATTTAATTGCCTTATACACACGGATATATATAGTATAATAAATTGACGTTATTATTGTACTTTAACTAGTTAAAACTGATAGTTTATTTTACTAATTATCATTAGGCTAACAAACTACATATAATAAGATAAAATACTTATATCTCTGCAAAAAAAATTAGTTATATTGTCTATATACAATACTTTAACTCATTGTTTAAATGTAAATTGTTCATTTACAAGTACAAGCTTAAATTGACTTTAGCAGTTTAAACTAGATTAAAAATCATTTGTTTGTTGTTTAGTATAAGTACAATTATTTTTTGTAGGGACTAGCTAGAGAAGAGAAAGGTCAATTGCACTAAAATTAAACTAGAAATAGTATAATGGACCCATGGTTGTTAATAGCTATTAAATTGAACTCCTACCACCCAACTAATACAGCTCAAATGGTGGTACAAAGAGGTCTCACAAGTTCATAATACAAGCAAACAAAGAACAAAAACTATATACAACAATAATAACATACTCCATAAAAACTTACAAGTGGATTAGGAAAAAATGATGTTTTTGTAGATTACACTTCTACTTTATCAGGATAGAAACATTGTTTCTGATACAACATTGACTCCAGAAAAACATAATAAATAGAGTATGAAGAAGAAATACAATAGTGATGAAGTCATGTTGATAATAATAAAGAAAAACAATAACAACAAAAATAAATAATACGACAACCAAAGCAAATGATTTATACAAGTTCTAATTACAAAAACTATATGAATATCGCACTCAATATTTGAATTATTTTTCATATATATGCTATACGATCAGATTTATCTATAATTACATTAATTCTACTATAATGTCTAAGTTTTTGTTATAAATTATAATTATCCACGTCAAAGGAACGTTAGAGCAAATGCTTATACCGATGTAGCTACTTTATTCACCACAATAATTAAGGGTACACGTAGTAGATTTATTTTTTAGACTTTCTTTCTATATAGTGATAGGTCATTATCTCTTGGAGATATAATGCACATGGTTTGGTAATCAATACGTTTTATAAAACCTAAAAAATAAAATAAAGTTAGATATTTTAAGGTGATTGGGGGGTCTATATAGTTGTCTTTGTGCTTAATTTCATTTGTGGTCACTTTCAAATTACTAAATCAAAACATACTTAGTGAGGAAAATCAAGAAAAGGGAAAAATGTGTTGGAAATGAATAAGGCTTGATAGACACATGTCTATCAAGTATGCCAATTGATTGAATCAATTCTAAGATTTGTATAGTGTTTTTTGGAGTCTACCAAAAGGATATATAGAAGAAACTTGAAGGGAAGTCCCGTGATCAAAGAAAGACAAGTCCTTTCTAAAGGGACAATTGTTTGTTGTGTTGTTTGGTATCAACATATATTTTTTAAATTCTTTTTATATTTGATCAATTTTTTTTCTTAAAAAAATAACTTTTTGAAAATGAGAAAAATAATTTTTATAATGAAACTGAAGAATATAAGTTTTATATTGTCTTTTCTCCACATTCTAAGTTTCTAACACACACACGCATACATAAATACATTTCGGAACATATATATCCCTAAGAAAATATACACATTTAGAGCTGATAACAAGGGGTATATCAGTCATTTGTATGACAATAAAGATATATATGAATCACTTTCTTAATAAGAGATATATCAATTTTAAATGACAAAATTGAAGAGTATATCAATTTTTTTTTTCCCTTTTATATATGAAGTCGTAATGAACGAAGATTTTGTATGTTAATGAACGAAGATTTTGTAGGAAGGGAGAAAGAGAAGAGTAAAGGGAAAGGCAGAAAAGAGAGGGCAACAAAAACAAGACATAAGCCAGCTTGGTGGTGTCCTACCTCACATGGCATATTTAGGCCAATATATTGGAGCCCACAATCCACTTATAAGTCAGACTTCTCAGCCAAAGCAAAGGCTCCTCATAAATGGTAAATTGGTCCCCTTAGTTTTCATCACTTCTATTTTTTTGCTACTTACTTCTTTTATTTATTATTATTGATTACTTATAATATTTATTATTGGATGGATAGGGTGACCTGTAAATTGTAATTTTGAAGAAATAATGATTAAAGAGGGAAAATGAGATTTGATCGAATTAAAACTTTACACGAAACCTTTGAACGAATTAAAACGTTATACCCCAATTGGAGTTGCTATTAGAATGAAGTCTCTAACAC